TATTCGGATATTCACAATGCACAGAAAGTCAGCACGCAATGCGTGGGTCAGTGGGGGAGAGAGGATCCAAAGCAGGGGATCGGGGGGGCCACGCGCGGAGCTGACGTGGCGGTGCGGAAGGAGTGTAGACGTTTGAATGATGTTGGCACCATGGCACGCGGTAGGGCGCGTGCTTTCCGTGTGCGTTATCCGGACGCGCGGGAAGTGTGGGAAAGGACTTGAGAGTAGTGCGGTGAAGGGTTTAAGGCACTCGCAGGGTTGTGGCGGCAGAGGCGGCACCTCGTGCGTACACACTCCTTTGAAAATGGATGTCCCAGCCCCACGGCAGTTGCCCCCCAGTGCTCCCGGCGTCGCCGCCGACGCTCTCGCGTGGAGTGGGCTGCATCGCGGCCCGCCGGCGCGTCCCCTTCGCTGCATGGCACGTACGGTGCAGCCCGGTACAGTGCACGGTTTTGATAGATGGTTTACAGCGCGACCCTTGCTTGGCAGACCCTCCCGGGCAAACACTTCCCCCCCAGGGCCTCCTTTTCACTCGCGAGCCTCGTCTTCCGCCGTCTCGTGGCAGTACTCAAAGTCCTCGTCTTCCATGAGCGTCTTATACCACTCTGCGACCAGCCACAGCGCGAGGGTCCTGGGCAGCGCGTACAGCACGGCCTTCATCACGCGATTCTTCCACCCCGGCGTCCACACGGCCTTCTTCCCCAGCATCTGCAGCCCGTCTTCCACGCAGACCTCGACCGGCATTAAATACCGCGGCACCTCGCCGCCCTGCTCGCCATCCACGGTCATCTCGGTAGCGACGAGCCCCGGCTCCAGCGCGAGCACGTCGACGCCGCACCGCGCAACCTCATCACGCATGACGAGCGCGAGCGTGGTGACGAACGCCTTGGACGCGCTGTACGTGGCGAACCACGGCATGCCGCCAGCCGAGATGCTGCTGACGAAGACCATGCCGCCGCGGCGCTGCTCGCAGAAGCGGCGGCCGAACGCGCGCGCCAGCGCGGTGACGGCGACGACGTTGAGCAGCAGCAGGTCGCGGTGCGCGCGCGCGGCTTTCCAGCACACTGGCGCGTGCAGCTCGACGCCGGCT